AACAGGGAGATCCAGCAGAGTCCCGGCAGTATATTGTTCACGGAAAGCAGAGTCCCACACAGTCCAAAAATATATAACCACAGAGGCAAAGGAATCCAGAGTGAACAGTTTGCAGCAGAAATTATTTTTTCAAGGCCCGTCAGTTGATTCTTCAAGAGTTATTTTTCCTCCTTTAATGGAGACACGAGCTATTTCTGCCTGGCTGTTAAGTAGGAACAGTATCGAGGTGGTGATGGAGATACAGAAGGTGACTATTGAGGTGGATGCGGCAAAGCATATTGGACTCTCTTGGGTCTAGGAGGCTATGGGTGATCAGGTGGACAATCTGGGGACAGTGCAGAGTCCATAGCGACCAAAGGTAGATTGAGGGATTTCTCCCAAAGGTAAGATCACAATCTCTGAAGTTGCAGCATAAGTGCAGGCTTCGCGAGTCTTTTACACTCGGGACAAGAGTGTGTTTGGTGCTGTTCCCCGAGACAGTGAGTGAGATCTTGTTATTACAAAGTACACACCACTTGAAAGGCCCAGGGAGAGCATAAAAGACAAGGGGAAATTTGGAGGGAAGATGGGGGGAAGGGGGGAATCGGCAAAAATGGGGGACAGAGGAAAAAAGCTGAATTGAATCAAAAGTAAAACAAATCAATTTAGAGGGGAAATGTCCAACAAAAAAAAAACTGAAATAACAGAAGAAGCAACTACCAATTGCAGTAAAAGCTCAATTGCTCCAGCTCTCTCCAAAATAGGTCTAACCTAAGCAGCAGCTAAAGGGAACTCAGGGGATTTCTGGTGGGCAAAGCATGCGCTCTACGGGGGAAAAGATGACTGAAATAACAGAAGAAGCAACTACCAATTGCAGTAAAAGCTCAATTGCTCCAGCTCTCTCCAAAAGAGGTCTAACCTAAGCAGCAGCTAAAGGGAACTCAGGGGATTTCTGGTGGGCAAAGCATGCGCTCTACGGGGGAATGTCCCACTAATCACATGTCTTTAAGCTCTAGAAACTTCTGAGAGGTCCTGAGCAAGTGCAGAACAACCCAACTGTGTGCATTCACAAGGCCATGAAGAACCTCACTCTAATCAGCTACCTTCATGAAGCCCCCAAACTGTACATTACCCTCAAGCTTAAAAAGCAAAATAGCTTCTGACAGAGAGAAATACATCACCAGAACAGCTAAAAGGATCCAGCCAAACTCCAGCTATACCTTGGAAGCCTGAGACACTGGTGGTTGCCAACCTATACCTGGGATCAGAAAGTCCAGTGACTTTCAAAAGGCTCAGTCTGATATAGACATTTTGGTCTTGCACTGACTGACTCTTGTACTTTTGCCTTGAGCAAAAATGATGACAATCAACAACCTATCATGCTCCAATTTCACCCAAACCTTCTAGAATACAAGAAAAAAAAACTGAAACTAATTGGCAAGTGCTCTGTACCAGGCAGTCCAAGCTGACCTTGGCTATGCTTCACTCCCTGATAAGAAGGCATACTCTCAATAGAACTGATTTATCTGTCTAAGCTGGTACCACTTCATCTCCCATAAGCTAAGTAGGCTGTAACCAAGATGAAGACAGCTTAGCACACTGAAGATACAGCAGCTGTTAGAAATTACTTTTTGGAAATGTCTAAATTGCTCCATTCTAATAAGTATGGCTGAACTGGGAGTAAAATATTGTATTAAAGAAAGGTTTCTGTTTACATTAAGTTTAGCTGGGTTGGAACTTCTCCAATATTCTTCATACTATGTTATTATTTGGACTAGCATAAGAACAAGAGATCTGAAGTAGTTTATTTTATGCATTAGCTTTCTGTTGTCTTAATTTAAATTTATCTGTGAACTATAGTGCTGCTGTTACATCTAACTAACCTTTCCTTTGCAATGGATGTCTTTTTAAATCTTCTAATAGTGACTGATACTTCTTGAAGCAAGTCGCATCCTCTGAGGTTATCAGATTTCCGTGACGAATTGCTGGTTTCCGTTTTACTACATGATTTTTCCTGCCAAAAAAATAAAAAAACACACACAAATAAACAAAAAAAGACCAATGTATTTTGAAAGTCATTCTTTGCATTCTTACAATAAAATATTTTCAGTTGCCCCAAACAAGGATGTTTACACGGCACTGATCAGAAACTTACACTGCACAAAATTCTACAACATTTATTTTCAACATACAGAGAAATCGTATTTGTGATGATTGTAGTTACTCTGTGTTTAAGTAAAAAGTTGACACAAAGCAAATGAGCTCAGAATGGCATATATAGCTATAACGTCCTGAGAAAAAAGTTTATAAAAACACAAAGCAACTTTTTGTGAAAGCAATCTCATGCTGACTGCAGTAATAATCTTTTATTAGGCCCACAGAAACATTTTAAAAATGTTCACATTGTTAGTGAGTCATGATGGTACAAAACTTAGGAGATAAGACACAAAACATTTTGAAAATCCAAGCATTTATCGGGGGGTAAAGTCCATATAGTTTCTTTTGGTAACTAAAAGATGTTTAATGAAGGCTTAGCGAAAAGAAAATGTGCTGAAGAAACAGTTTACTGTTTGTTGAGATGCATGCTTTATTTGTCTCCTGCTGAACTTCAGGCTTGCTGAGATTCAGGTTCTTATCTATCTTTTTCAAACTCACAACCTTCTGTTTTGACTTAGAGATGTGGTTCCCAACCTTAGGTAACCCAGCTGTTCTTGGAGTGCAATTCCCAGAAGCCTTCAAGATTGGGAACTACCACACTGAACCAAAATTTAGAACAGCAACAGACAGGAACTAGCTACAGTAAGCCTTATACTTGCACACACTCAGCATCCTCCTCTTCTGTGGAAAGGAATATGGGTTCAGAGGTTTTTGCTTGGATTAGGCAGTGTGCTGTACTGTTCAGATCTAGAGCTGTCAGTAATTTTAGTCTGTTAATTTACACAGCCTACCATCAGAAAGAATGGTTAAAGATAGCTTGCATGAAACTAATTATTGTCAGGTCAAGACAACAACCCACAAAATCAGAAGAGACCATTTCTAAACCCCTCTTCCCACACTGTGGCTTATTCTTGATTGTTCATGCCATGTTAAAATAGACTGTAGTTCAGTAACATGGGGAACGATGGGCCCTGTTGGTTTACAGTTTTACATAAACTTCTTACTGAAACCATGTGAGATGGGAAAGAGCAAAAAACCCAACTATACAACTTGCTGTACACCATGCATGATGTCACTCATCAACAATTTTTTTACTTTTAGTTCCTTGAATTAGCTTCACAATTGCAACTGTAACTTCACAATTGCACAGTGGACACTTCAGCTACAACTGAAGGAATTTCGGCAACTGAGTAGGCAACCAGGTTTTGAACATGCTTTCTTGTTATGTTATTTAAATACCTTGCCTGCTGCAACTTTTGCCAAAAGTGAAGCAAGTGAATGGCCCTTGCTATTCTGAGGCTTTAGAGATGGTATTCTTACAACAGGCCAGATTCCACCATTGCAGATCTCCTCTGTTCCTCGTTCATTTACTGCTTTGACATGAATTAAAAATGAGCGGTACTTGCCACCTGCCATACCTATAATAGAAGAAACAAGCACAGGCATAACACACCATCTTAAAAAGATTTATGGGAAATCTAGCCTCCCAACTGGAATGGACAACTCACTTCCTTGCTACAATTTTTAAAAACAAACACTTTAGTTTGGATTTAATATGTTGACTGGAAAAGTCAGATTCATATCTTTTACTTTCCTTAAAAAGACTATTAGTTCCTAGTCTGTATTTCATTCCAAAAAGATTCAAACAAAACAGTTTACCTTTAACAAGCTTTGGACTTGTTAGAGTCAACATTCCAGCATGCCCTGATAGATCAAGCCCAGTAGCCAACCATACAGGGCCACATAGAATGTCTTCTTTATGATCCTCTAAGAAGGTACACAGTCGAAGACCTTTGAAAAAAAGGTTGAAGAAAAATAAACTGCCGTGGTTATTTAACACAAAGTTCTAAACAATGTATAATTTCTTCCAGATAGTCAGTAATATCAAATTATTGGTGCAGTATACACATGCAATGGGAAGGCATAATTTCCTCTTATGAAAAAAATAGAATGTGCAGGGCTCAGAAGGAAAGAGAAGAGAAAAAGTTCTACTTTTTTACATTAACAACAGTTCTCCATCATATCCAACCCCTTGAAACATTCATTTATTCTATGAGCAGTGAGTTAAAAACAAGCAGGGATCAAATCATGAATTGATATTCAGTAACTAACTATAGGTAAGATAAATAACACTTCTCCAGTTTGATGTATAACAGGGCAGCAGTGATCAGTCTAAAAGTAGAAATTTTCCAATGTGTGTACCCAATTTCCTTTCGCACAGAAAAGGCGAATAAACATGCTGATGACATCATGTTGTTACATAAAAGAACAACATTTTACCATTCCAAATGAATCAGGTCACTGTTTTTTTCCTGCAAGGTACACTAAGAGACTCTATTAATGCGCTGCAGCAAAAAAAAAAAAAAAAGATAATCTCATGTCTGTATCTAAAGAACTGGACTATGGACCATAAAAACATAAGCAAAGTAAGACTTGTAATTTTGTATGGAGCAACAAGTCTTTTTGGTTTTCTCCAATTTACGTATGACAGGTTTTAATCATCATCATCACTGTCATCATCAGAACTGCAGAAGTGGAAAGGACCATATGGATCATCAAATCCAATCCTGCCAAGGAGGCACAGTGAGGAACTGAACTCCAAACCTCTAGCTCTGCAGCCAGATATCTATCCTGCAGTTTTGCAAACAAGATATTAAACTCTGAAAGTTGGTTACTGGCATACAAAGGAAATAAAGGAAAAAATCTAATTTTATAATTAGAAATATATCAACCATTTAACAAATTCCAATTCATCAGAACTGCCTCTAAAACATCCAGATACCAATGACCAAAACTGCAAAATTCACTTTCAAAGTATCCTATACTTCAATTTAACTCACACTGTGAATCCTCTATGTCTACATTCTGCATATCTTCATTCAAATCATCCAGTCCTGGTTTTCCATTCCTTTCCATTTCAACATTATGAGCTGGTGACAGAGGAAAACTTATCTGTCTATCTACAGCCGCTTCTGAGGAATCAAGCACATTGAGGATAAGTGTGAGACAATTACAAATTGATTTTAAAATTCCTTCAACATCTCATAAGTTGTTTCTACTTTTTTGCAATTTTATTTTAAATCAAAAACATGTATCTATATCATCAGCCTTGGACACATGGTGCTTTACTAACAGGATTATAGCCATTTACTATTCTTCTTACTATATCCTGCCAGCCTAGCAGTTTGAAAGCATGTAAATGCGAGTAGATAAATAGGTACCACCATGGTTGGAAGGCAACGATGTTCCGTGTCTAGTTGCGCTGGCCACGTGACCACGGAAACTGTCTTTGGACAAACACTGGCTCTACGGCTTTGGACAAACACTGGCTCTACGGCTGCGCCCTAGAGTCAGACACGACTGGACTAAATGTCAAGGTGAACTTTTACGTATTCTTCTTAACAAAAGATGTCTCCAGTTGCTGTGTATTCTCTCTCTCTTTTTCCAACACATACACCAGGTTATCCTTAGCCAAGTTGTACTAAATTGTCCACTGCATACATACCATATTTGCCGGCGTACAAGATGACTTTTTGGCCCTGAAAAACATGCCTCCAAGTGGGGGGGGTCGTCTTATACGCCAGGTGCACTTCCAGCAAACCCTCCCTCTCTCCCAGCGAAGTCACTTACGAGTAGACCGACCCCGCTCCTCCTTGGTAGCCTGGGAACAGCCTGACTTTAGTGCCGAACAGCTAGCTGTCTGGAACCAGCAGAGAGGTGGCAGCCATTTTGAGATGCAACCACATGGCTGCTGCCTCTCCAAAATGGCTGCTGCCTCTCTGTTGGTTCCCGACAGTCAGCTGTTCGGCGCTGATGCTGTCCTTCTTCCAGCAAACCCTGGCTCTCTCCCAGCGAAAAGAACCAAAAGCGGCAAAAGGAACTCTCCCCATGATGCAGCCAAAGCAGAATCACACATGCAGAAGAGGGGGTAGTCTTATACAGCAAATATATAACAAACTACGTTTTGAATGGAAATGTTGGTGGGTCATCTTATACGCCCAGTCGCCTTATACACCGGCTAATACAGTAGATTTCTTTAAAGGATTTAGTACCTTCCAGTACTAGGCAAGTTGAGCACAGTCATATATCCCTGCTGCCTGTTACAATTATGGTGATGGGGAAATACCAGGTAGGTATCTATATTCCTCAGTATCCTTGCACATAATAGACAAAGGCCTAATGTCGGCATAAATGGTATAACTTTTGGTGCAACCCATTGTGCAAGTCACAAAATCAATATAGACACTATGGCTGAAATCCTGTTGCTTAATGAAGCAAGCAACTACCAGTAGAGTGGGTCTACTGAATCCAAGTGGATTCAATGAGCCAACTTCTCCATAAATTCCACTGATTCAATAGGCCTTCCTCAGTTACAACTTCCTAAACTAAGCAACTGGATTTTAGCTACTCTGTTGCATACCAAATCATACAACTCAGTGTACAGCAAATAGTGCCAACATTCACACTGTAACATTAAGCAACCTGCCACCAAAAATTTCACTATGTTAAGTTGGCAATAGAATTTTGGCTAGTGACATTAAAAAAACAGATACAAGCTATGAAAACTCAGTTTTTTTTGTTTGTTTTTAAAATGACTAGAATTGACCCTTGTAAAATAAGGAATAGATTACAAAATATAGACTATCATTTACAGTTGAAAACCAAATCAGTATTTCCCCCACTCTCAAAGCATGACAAAAACAGATATATTCATACACCTGGAAATGTCTTGCCACTGTGGAGGCAGCTAGTAATCTTTGAGATGCTTGAAGTTTTCTTCCACTAAAGTATCCTTCAAAAACTCTGAACAAATATTGCTTGCTGGGCAGTATTTCTATGTTAAATATCCCAACGGAGAGTAATACCCAGTGACCAATTTGTCACCAAAATCTTGACACGTTAATTGCATTCAATTCACTCACTACATGAAAAAAAATCTATTTAAACCTTAAGCACATAATTTCACCCACTCTCAGCTTACCACTGACTTTTCCTAAGCCTGGAGCTTTATTTTTCAGCAAAGTCACTTGAATCTGTGGAATGTTTGTGATGTTTGAATTCAAAACAAATTTGAAGTCTACATGTCCAACCATACAGGCTTTTGGCAAGACCAGTTCAAAGACATGTTCATCCCAGCTGTTGCTACAAAGGGAGAAGTGAGGAAAAATAATAAAGATGCAATTAAGACAAGAGAAATGCACAGCTCCAGCTCAATTTTGCATATATTACTATTATTGTTGTATGATATGTATGAGCAGGTTAAGTTCTACATTAATTACATGACTTAAAAAAATAAGTCATGTAATTAATGTAGAACTTAACCTGAGTTAAAGCAACAACAAAAGATGCAGTCTAATCGCAATCATGAAGATATTATTCTTTTCACAGAGCTTTAGTCCTGTAAGATACGATAAGTTGGTATTTCAGATTTAAAATTAGGTGTAAGAAACAGTTTAATCATGTTGCTCCATTTGTTCAATCTGAAATCCTTAGACAGAAGACCGTTTAAAAATGAAATGCTGTTTTGTGCCGAAGGCCACTTCCTAATCACAGCAGCAGGGAAATTAAATATTTCAAGAAATGTTCCAGCATTAATTACTTACCTATCTGTTTGTAATTTCCATGTCCGAGTATGCTGAGCCGCATCCCCGTGATGCTGTTGGTGCAAGTGTTGTGGATGCCGCCTTTGCTGTTGTTCTTGTTGGACCTCAACCCAGCATGGAGGAACCGTGGCAGAAAATCGTGGTGTCAAAGTTTCAAAGCGAGTGAGCTCCACCAAAGATGTCAATGTTTCAAGGGAAAATGGTTGGTCCACCAAAAGATCAACTCCTGTTGTTTTTTTTTTATTGAAAGAAATAGGAGACTCAATAGATACTAAATGACTTACCAATTGCGAACTTACCAATTACAAAAATGACACTTTTTCCTAAAACAATTAGAGGAAAAATTGAGGGTCACTTTATACACAGAAGGGGGTGGAGGTGGAGGCTAAGGAGCAGCCCAAAAATGACACTTTAAAATAATTAGAGGAAAAATTGAGGGTCACTTTATACAAAGTAATGGGGGGAGGAAGAGATCAAAGCACTTTGATCCCTGCTTTCCACTTCCACTTTTTGCAAAGAAAGTGGAGAGGTAAAGCACTTTCCATGCAAGAAAGTAGAGGGGGAAAGCAGCTTTTTGCAACGAAAGTGGAGGGGGAAAGCAACTTTTTGCAATGAAAGTGGAGGGGAAAAACATTTTCTTCCCAAGCAAGTGGAGGAGGAAAGCAAGAATCAAAGTGCTTTGATCCCTGCCTCCTCCCCCCCCCCCACTTTCTTGCAAAGAAAGAAATTTTGGGTTAGAAAAGTGGGGGCATCTTATACGTGGAGGCATCTTATACACAGAAACATATGGTATTTGTCCTCTAAAACAATATAGAAATAAAATAAATAAATAGTTCTAAATTTTGGAGTTGGAATATAGAAATTTAGTATCTTTAGTTTAATACACGCCACTTGTAAAACATACCAAGAAAGCATACTGAGAATATCATTTATCTAATATTAGATATGTACCTGTAATGCCTGGACTGGAAGGGTTAGATAAAGGCTTTGTGCCTTCTGTTAACTGTTCTGTCACTTTAGAGAGAGAAGCATCCACAAGTATATCTGCTTCATCAACATCATCACAAGTCCCTCCAATCTGAAGAAAATGCAGTTCTCCACCTAGAAATAGTTGGGAATTCAAACAAAGGTTCAAAACCATCCATGTAAATAACAATCAAACTCTTGGACATGGTGCTCACGGGCAGTCGCAACATATTCCACATGCTCTTGGATGAACACATTTTTCTAGACCAAGTAGGCTTCAATCTGGTGTTGTAAACAGTGACTATAGTAACTACTGAAAATATCCAGGACATGTTATCCAAAACTATATACTGTAGTGTCACCAATACACAGATGACGCTGATATCACACCTTCTTTTCATCAAATCCAGATGAGGCAGTAAGAGATCTCAATCAGTGAACAGGCATAATACAGTAATGGGTTAGATGAAAACCAACAAACTGAGATGAAACAAAAGTACTGTGCCCTTGAGTGGCATTCAGCTATTTTGGACAGGTCTGCGTTCTTAATAAAGTATCAAGTTCACAATTTGAATTCTGAGGCACTCAAAGAACCAACATTTCCTCTAGGGGCCCAAGTGTCTTGGTGGTTCAGAGTGCCTTTTATGAACTTAAACACATAAACTTTCTATTATCACTGTGTCTTTCTCTGGAAATTCTCTAATACATGAAGTAAACCGACTTCAAAACTGGAAAATCTACTGTGTTTTCTAACCAGGACCTTAACATCCTCCAACCAGAGCCTAACTCATGAGACAAAATTAGAATTAAGTAATTTGGAGGCTAGGAATTTGTTTGAATATCAGAATGAACTGGTGCTTTCTGCACACAGACCTGTCTGATCTAACTGTTCACTTCAGCAGTGTAGTTTAAGACTGGGACATGTCATTTGGATATTGTTTATATAGAACTCAAGAGGCAGAAATCCTTGTCAATACACTACTTATCATCCAGAGATCTATCAGCAGAATCCGAGTTAAATTTCTGCTCAACCCTGTCCCAAGGCATGTGGGTAGCACAGAGTTCTCAACTGAATGAAACTGAAATATGAGATAACAAATATCTCCAGGGCAGAGATAAAGAGAATAGCTCTTTGAAGCATACAATCCTACAATTATGATTATTGAAACACTAAGTTTTTACTATACACTAAACTGCTAACCTCTGGTGCACTGAGGGTAACTGCTGGGACTTTGGTAACAACTTCACCTAGCAACTCAGTTGACATATAAATCAGATATTGTCTTTGATCAATTTTTTTTTGTAACACATCCTAACTCTACAGTACCTGAAGTGACCAGAATGGAATATTGCATTGTAACATGACAAATCACAGGAAATTATGGGCTACTCCCTTTCAGCTCACCAACACTGTGAGATCATGTTCTGAATGACAGGATAGAGGAAGGGAATGGATGTAATGATATGGACTCTAATAAATATTGTGGATACCACAGCCTTCCTTTTGAATAACTAATTGAGAGTATTATGCAATTTCTCTTACTCAAATTCCTTTTCAAGCTGATGAAGTAACAACTCTCTAGGACTTAAAAAAACATTAAACATCATGAAATATTTTTAGAATTCAACTGACTGATTTACAACTGGCTGTGCAACTATGTTTTTTATTTCAGTTCAAATGCACTACAATACAATATTACTTCAACTGTTTTTCTGGAAAAACAGCATTGAATTATTGAGTCAGAACTAGGAAAGCTCTGAAGACACAAAGGATTATGGCCTAAATCCAGCTGTTCATTCCAACCAGAGCAGACGCATTCGATGTAATTTCTGCAAGTGATGAATTGCCATTCAGTAACCAATTCAATGCATCTGTCTAGTTGGGTCCATAAACTGGATAGGGCATTTATGTGTACATGCAAGGTTTTCTACCAGGCCGGAGTTCCTCATTCTTCATAACACCTAGCATTCATAAGGTCCCTGCATCATTCCAATATATATCTATATGACATCAAATAAATTTCTGAAATGAGAAGTGCTTGGAACCAGCTGACTGATTGTACCTAAGCCACTTTGAGAGACTTTACCTGAAGAGCAGAAGTTCTACTACTGTTGCAACAGAACTCTGGATATTAAATATCCAGACAGATTGCATCCATGCTATGGACAGTTCTGCTCTCAGATTATCAAACCAGCATTGGAGGAAATATCTTTGTACCTCTCCCATCAACTCAGCATCTTGCCTCAGCACAAATAAAAAGTTAAAAAGCTACAAGAGAACATAAGGACTTTCCAGAGGGAAAGGGAATCAAGGAGCTATTAGTACATATGCACTAGCCATAGGACTGATGCAAAGGAAGGGAGAATTTAATTTTGCTAAATCTATTACAGGCAGGAAATTTTCTCAAAAGGGAGACATTCTGCACAATGCCAGAAAAATTAGGACACTTGGCAAGTATAAATTTACAAAAGCAGAAATAATTACAAAAAAATCAAATCATCAATGTTTCTATGACAAAGAAAGGTAAGAAGAAAGAATGGGAATTGATCACCAGAAAGGGTTTTATTGCACCAGTAAAAACCAGCTGTTTTCACCCAGAAAAATTAAGGTTTGAAACCTCTGCACCAAAACCAGCCAACAGTCTGATGGCATTTAAAAGACTAACAAAGTTTTACATGGAATAAACTACTATGGACTGTAGCCCCTTCTTCAAAAAAGCTTCTGTCAAACAAAACTTGTTAGTCTTTAAGGTGCCATGAGACTTGATTTTGCTATAACACATTAGAAGCCATCACTCTCAAAAATCATATGCACAATAATGTGGGAGAAAAGACTTAATCCTCAGTAAATATTTACATGATTGCATCACGTATGTCTGTCTGTCTGTCTGTCTGTCTGTCTGTCTCTTTCTGTGTGTGTGTGTGTGTGTGTATTGCCACCCTTGCAATTCTGTCAGAAAATGCAGTCCTTCTCTCAGAAAATTGTTGCAGTTGCAAATGTTTTGGCACTCACATGTTCATTCTTTTGGTTTGTATTAGAACACAACAACAAAAAAATAACCAGAAAAAAATGTCAAATCTGATACAATCCCACAAAGAAACCCAAAAATGCACTGGCCAAAATTATTGGCATGCTGTGTAAATTTTAAGACATAATTGCTTTTCAAGCACGTGATGCTCCTTTAATTTGTATTTAGACACACCTGTCGCAAGTAAGAGGTGTGGACAATATAGTAATTACATTTGCACCCAGTTAAGATGGAGAAAAGTTGACTTAACCTTAGTGTTGTGTGTGACACTGAGCATG